TAACATAATTACAGTCGAATGAATAACCTGGTAATTAATGACGTTATTGCTGAGCCCTTCCCCCCCCCCCTCTGAGTTATGGTGCTGTAATTTGGCACTGTAATGTTTTTTGTAATGAGTAATGCTCGTGTAGTGCGTCTGTAATGCCGATATGATAAGTATGTAATGTCACTGTAATATATAAAATGCTGTAATGTTAAGCTGGGATAGAGTTGGTGTTGTTTATGGATCTCTCTCTCTCTCTCTCTCTCTCTCTCTCTCTCTCTCTCTCTCTCACAGGTTAATAGCCTCTAGGTAGGTTGTTACTGTAATCACCGAACCTGAAAAATATTCTCGGCATCATTAAATCGTGTGCTGAGATTTTCCACCATTACCACCACTGCTAACACCACCATCACCATCACCTTCATCCTCTCCCTCCCCCACCGTCATCACCACTATCCCCGCATCACCACCAGAACACAGGTATCCCCACAAGGTACTTCAACACCTCACAATACGCAGCACCAACCTGTGGCCGGCTGGGTGACATAACCCTTTATCTACTAACGTCAACACACACACAGGTAATGAGAAACCAATTACCTTCGATTACCTGTGATGACTCGGCTAAAAGGTGAAATAACCTCCGACGGCTGAAATAACAAAAGAAACAATAATAACAACGAGAACAAAATCAATAACAACAGTAGCATCAACAACAACGACAATAACAATAACAACCACAATAATAACAATCACAATTACAATAACAACAAAAACAACAACCATAATAACAACAAAAACCACAAAAATAAATACCTACAATAACAAGTAACCACAATTACAAAAACAACCACAACAACAACAACCACAACCCACCTCAGTGACCATAACACGACACATACTTATGAACATTGAACATCAAGGAAGAGGAACATTCTCACTCAAAATTACTAACATTATATTGAGTAGGTGAGTAACCTTACCAGAGTACTGAAGTCTCTCTCTCTCTCACTGTGTGTTTCTGTCCCTATGGCTCTCAGCTCTCCATAAAAAAGATAATAATAAGGTTTTGGTTGACAAGGAACTGAGATAACCTCCTCCTCTTCCTAGTATTGCTTCTACTCCCCTTCCTCTACCCCTTTATCTTCCCCTCCTCCTCCTCCTCCTCCCCGAGCCCTTAAGCCATTCACCCCGGGGCACCACCTCCTCCTCCACTACTGCTTGTGTGGTCCCATCATCCAGAGTCTCTTAGGATCTTGAAGGTGTGACAACGTATCTTATTGGTTCACTTTAACTTACGACAAAAAGGTAGATTTTCCAAAGTTCGTAAGATTAATTCCCACCTTAACTCGAGATGTGAGGACGTATCTAGTTGGCTCGCTTAAACTACGACGCATAGATAGATTCTCAAGGCTTCGTAGGTAAATTTTTTGCCACTTAATTAAAGATGTAAGAACGTGTGTAACTATTCTCTTAAGTTATGGCAGTTCGGATAGATTCTGAAATTAGTTAAGAGAGTAACAAATTATATTGTGACATTTCAAGATTCCTGAATCTAGTTGGATTCGGTCGAGTTTTAATTTGTCTTGACCTAGATGATAGCACCTGATAGCCAGTTAGAAGGAGATGAGAGTTGTGCTATCAGCGTGGTCTTGTTCTAACTGACAGTCACTCCTATCAGTGGGTGTTGACTGGATCTAACTGGGTGAAGTGTAGTTTATGTCACGGCTCTTATTGTGAGAGAGAGAGAGAGAGAGAGAGAGAGAGAGAGAGAGAGAGAGAGAGAGTGTGTGTTCGCATCCACTTACCATTCATTAATATTTGTATACCTGTATACTGAACTAACGTGAACTTATGTACTGAATTTCTATCTGTCTATCTAAGACAAACATGGTGGAGCTGTAATGGGGTCAGTCCAGATGAAGAAGGACCAACTGTAGCGTAGAGAGAACGACGTTAGTTTAGTTATCCATTTAGATTCTTTTTATTTTACAACATAGAAAACAAAATATTAATTGATAGAAAACGTTATCTATACTGTAATAAGGGTAACTCGTCTAATTTACACTTTCTCCACAGTCTGGACGCGACCTGCCGTACTGATAGCGGTTTGTATAGTGAAGACAGCGAACGGGACGACGACCCGAAAACTCCAGACAGATCTTCTGACCACATATCAGGTAAGTGTTTTGGCAGTTGTGCAATGTTCAGTCCCAGTAAAGTTGTATGTAAGAGAAGGCCATAATAGGGTACAGTACAACACACCTAGATTTTCGTTCCAAGAAACATAAATACTTTTTAATTGAACTAGTTGAAATTAAGAGCATGTATTTATTTATTAAGACCTGAGGCAGCTGGTGTATAATCATCAAAACATTAGTTTCCTCATCAACAGCGTCAGAGGATGACTTGTGGACGCCGCGCCGCCCCTCAGGAGGCGACTCTACCAAGGACTTTAAACATTTAATACGAGGAGGAACAGGCGACTCCAGCTCATCCTCCAGCCCCAAGTCCCACTTCAGTTTGTCACCACAGCCTGATAATTTTACCTCTGAGTTGATGATAATAGAGGAGGGTGACCTACCACAGTGGAAGGGGTCACCCTCGAAGGAAGGGGACCTAACACGGTGGAGAGGGTCGTCCACAAAAAACAGCGACTTGTCAAAGTGGAATGGTGCCTCCTTGAGTGACACCTTCATCTCCACCTCCTCCTCGACGGCGATCATCGAGGGGCTGGAGAGGGAGGTACTGTGGCTGCAGTATACCCTCGACCAGGCAGAGAAGGAGTGTGAGGAGGTGAGGTTGTTGTCTGTCTATCTATTTATCCATCCATCAATCTATCTATTTAAGCAAAGATTTCTATCCATCTACAGTATGCACTATATATCTGCCTGTGTGTTTATCTGCCCTCATCTAACTGACTGTGGATTATTCCCAGTACTACCACCACTATCACCATAATGCCTTTACAAGACTTTACATTGTTACCTTTAAGAACTATATATATATACACACATGCCAAACGTCACACTAATGTTTTCATTATTCTCCCTCCCACAGAATATCTCTAACCTAAAGCTGGTAGAAATGGAGACACAACTGGGAGATGTAAAAGGAGAAGTGGGAGGCCAGAGAGATAAATTCAACTCTTTATCTGTAGAACACGATCGGGTGTCTCCTCTCAATTCTTTCGTCTCCTCCTCCTCCTCGTCCTCATCCTCCTCCGCCTCCAACAGCTACCAGACACCCTCCTCCTCCTCCTCCTCCTCCCTCCTCCAGAAAACGGCATCCCGGGGCCTCAACCACCCTTCCAGGATCCTGCCACACTCCCCAGAATGCCTCGAGGCCACGCTAGGCTGAGGGCAAGTACACACAAGGGGTTAATACTAACTTTAACATATACGAATCATCAACCAGGGCGTCAATACATGGTCCCGTCGTCACGTATCACACACAGGGTGAGACATAAAAGGTATAACTTAAAATATCAGCTAAATTACAGGTTCTCGAGGAGGTCTTGCGTCAGTAGTTTTCTCATAAGGGAACCAACTAACATGTCATCCAAGTTCTACCGACGTGAGAACCATAAAGATCTTTTCATTGATACAGAAATAGGTTCAGGGATACAAGTACAGACACAGATACAAGAATTAGTACAGCTGCAAATACAGGTACAAGAATGGGTTCAGCTACAAATACAATTAAAAGTACTAGCACAAGTACAGTATAAAAACTGATACAAGTAAAGTTACAGAAACAACTACAGGCACAGTTACAAGTTGGGTACAGATACAAATGCAAATACATGTACAGATACAAGCATGGATACAGATACAAGTACAGATAAAGACAGTACAAGCACGAGTACAGATATTACAGGTACAGACACACGTACCATACAGGCACAGATACAAGAACAAGTACAGATATTTCAGCATGATAACAGTACATAAACTTCCATAAGAGTCAAATGTGTATTATCATGTTAAATCATCATCCACTCATCATACTGATACATAATTATCACATATTATTATTAAAATTATACACATATAAAATTATCTGACGTTACTCGAATCTCAATTACTTTACACACTTGGTTATTAAATATATATGTAACGCTTATATGATTTTTTAGCTTACAATATCAATAATTCATCCTCATTACATAATAATTCAATACATTAACTCGTGAGATACTGTACTGTGTAGTCTGTGCTCTAAATCTCGAGTTGAATCCGTTTTCTGTTCACTATCGGTGAGGTTTTAGGTGGATAGAGAAGAGCAATTCACGCCGACTGTCAACACACTTGTGACGATGCAGAGTTAAGACACTGTTTACCTGTCTGAAGTGTGTGTAAACCTACCTGTGTGAACATAACATTACCTGTCTGGAATGTATGAACCTGTGTAAACCTGAATATGTTTATCTCTCCACAGTATATATAAAATTACCTGTTGAAACATACCTGTCTTAACACCTTACCTGTCACAACTGTATGATTCCCTACCTATGTGAAACTCCCTTATGTAAATTTAAACAGTGAGAGAGTGACAAGACACCCACACGTTTTAAATTTCCCCATAAAGTAATATAAAAAAATATACTCAAACATTCAAACTGACACAAACTCACAATTTACTTAATATACAAAAAAGTACTTAGGCCTATTTTTCTACAACACAAACTACAATCAAGATAAAATCGTCTATTTTTAAATATAATTTTAGCATTTTCTTCACTTTTCTATCCCCAGCTGTACATTTTTCCCATTACTTGTACACCCCAGTCAGTGTATAAATTAACATCACCTGAAGATTAGACACCCTAGCTTACATCACCTGAAGATTAGACACCCTAGCTTACATCACCTGAAGATTAAACCCCCAAAGCTTATTTCACTTGAAGATTAACCCCCCCTAAACCTAACCTACCCCCCCCCTCCCCCGATAGCGTTATGGTGGTTACTAGGTGAACTAAATTAGGGTATCTAATTATCAGGTGATCCATAAACTGATATAATACTCGTCCAATGTAACTCATCAAGATACTAATTAACCTTAAAAGTAAATTATAACCTAACTTATAATACTGTAATTAAATATGTTTACTGAGTCGCTAATTACACACTAGACCTTTAGGCATTGTATTTTCTTTGTTATTACTGTTGTTGTTGTGGTTGTTGTAATTTTTTTCTTCTTGTTGTATTTATTGATATATTATTATTATTATTATTATTATTATTATTATTATTATTATTATTATTGTTATTATTATCATTATTATTATTATTATTATTATTATCATTATTATTATCATTATTATTATTATTATTATTATCATTATTATTATTATTATTATTATTATTATTATTATTATTATTATTATTATTAATATTATTATTATTATTATTATTATTATTATTATTATTATTATTCCACACAATACTTCAGTACATTCTAATAATTAAAATATAACACTACCGCTACAAGTATGGGACAGTAAACAAACAAACAATGGTAACAGAACATTATTATGCTATGCTAGTCTTATGTATTACGCAGTGTAGATATGTATAATAAATATTTGTATGTATTAACACCTGTTTCTTATTTATTACCTGAGAGAGAGAGAGAGAGAGAGAGAGAGAGAGAGAGAGAGAGAGAGAGAGAGAGAGAGAGAGAGAGAGAGAGAGAGAGAGAGAGAGAGAAAAAGAGAGAGAGAGAGAGAGAGAGAGAGAGAGAGAGAGAGAGACTGCTCTACTTCCAAACACATGAATACACAAAAATAATTAATACGTGGACAAACAAACAAAATAAACAATGATTAAGGAAATAAGTAGATAAGGAGGTGTTAAAGTTAATGAGATTAGTGAACAGGTGAGTATAAAAAAACATCAGGTAAACAACAGGTGGATTAGTAGTTGATTTGGTGTAGCGGACTGTTGCCGGAAGGTGTGGGGGAGTTATTGTACCGCTGGACCTGTGACGTCACCACCCGCAACAACAGATGGTGATTGTGGGACTGGGTGGTGGTAGTTGTGGTAGGTGTGGTAGGTGTGGTGGTGGTGGTGGTGACAGGTCTAGGTGGAAGGGGGTAGGGTTTGAGGGGGCTCACCTGATATTCAAAAGCGTATGGAAAATTAATCTACCTGAACTTCACCTGAACTTACCACACACACACACACACAGAGTCGCGTGGGTCAAGATAATCGTAAACCACAGATGGATGACTCGCGAGACAGATCTTACCATTCTGCTGAGATACAGGGTTGGAATCCACCCCTCCCCCCCCACACCCATTCTCCCTCTCTCCACCGTTATGACATATGTTCTCTCCCCCCTTTACCTCCCCCACCCAATTCTCTCCTCTCTCCCTCCTTAAAGAAAGGCGCGTCACGTTCAGCTCAGTAGTTACCGTTCACAGCCAATAATACCGTCTCTCTCTCTCTCTCTCTCTCTCTCTCTCTCTCTCTCGCTCCAGTCCAGTGAGTCGATCAGTGTGTGTGTACGTCTGTCTCCTGTTCATCACGCCTGCTTGATGAGGTTAGTGGTGCAGCAGGCCACTTGGTGCACGCCATTACCACCATTCATGTCGTCACTATCACCTGCCTCACCATCATCATCATCATATAAACATCTACATTCATCATCATCATCATCATCATTACTATTACCATTATCAAGATCATCACCACCATTTATCAAGTAATCACCACCATTTATCAAGATCATCACCACCACCATTACCATCACCACAACCATTAACCAGCATTACTATACGATCATCACCACCACCATTACCATCACCACAACCATTAACCAGCATTACTATACGATCATCACCACCACCATTTATCACGATCATCACCACCACCATTACCATCACCACAACCATTAACCAGCATTACTATACGATCATCACCACCACCATTACCATCACCACAACCATTAACCACCATTACTATACGGTCATCACCACCACCACCAGTCGACCTTAAAACACACCCTAACAGTATAATCTTAAAGGCACTACACTGAATGCCAATAAACAGTGCCACCTCCCTTAGTGCCAAGATCCTGACTGAACTAACTCATGAGGGGAAAAAATCCTTACCAATTAAGTTATGATTAGACAAAGCGAGTATCGAACCCTGGTCTTAGGTTGAGGTGAAACTTATGACAGCAGAATAAGCCACCTTGTATCTCTCTCTCTCTCTCTCTCTCTCTCTCTCTCTCTCTCTCCCCTTATATATATTTACACAGTGAAAGAAAGAAAGAAAGAAAGAAAGAAAGAAAGAGAGAAAGAAAGAAAGAGGCGTAGTTATTTATACCAAGGGATGCATCAGAGGGAGACGGCCAGGTCAGAGAAGTAACCAACCACGTCCTACAAATATTTATATAGTACATGAGTGTTAAGTGATGTGTGTGTGTGTGTGTGTGTGTGTGTGTGTGTGTGCGTGTGTGTGTGTGGATAATAGGTACTTGTTTTTATTTTTCTCTAAATCTTAATAC